TCAAATCTACAGAAAATAGTTCTGCCTGAGTTTACTTTCTTTGAAAACAGGTCATCTGATGTAACTTCATTTGTGTGAAGATAGTTTGAGACGGCGCAAAGCACTGCAATGGCAAAGCCAGTATTTTCCTGCTTTTTTTCCAGCAACACAATGGTCACCGCTAAGATCAGCTCCCCGCTGACAGACAATGACTTTCAGGGAGGAAATCGGCTTTGAGAGACATGCTTTCAGTCAGAACTCTGCCGTTTACTCCATAAGGATCCTCCTTTGTGACATTCGCCAAAATTATCTGATGCTCACTGGAGGAAAATGCCATGTCACCATTCACTTTTTCAGGAATGGTTTGAACTTTGGTTCTGAGTCTTCCTTTTCTTTAAGTTGGAGATGAAACATGGTGTTCAATGGTGGTTGTACAGTAGTTGTCATGAGCATTTCATTGTACAATTCAACAAAACGTTCTTTGTGAAGTGCAGTGTGACAAGCAGCCTCCACTTTTCTTTGTTGTTGTCTGGAGCTTTTTCGAAGATTATAAAACTGCCATTTGGCATTAATGATAGCAAGTCTTAAAGAAAGTGGCACAAGATAAATCTTTGGATTTGTTCCTTATTATGATGCTTGTTATTAGCCTCTCATTATGAAGCTAAACATTTTATATATCTTTGAGGAAGGGTTGAAGTCTTACTATTGAAGTCAGAATGATTAGCCCTCCCCAATTATTAGCCCCCTGCATATTTTTCCCCAATTTGTTTATATGTTTAACGGAAAGAACATTCTAAACATAATAGTTTTAATAACTAATCTTTAGTAACTGATGTCTTATATCTTTACTATGATGACTGTAAGATTTTTTTTTGCTAGTTACTAGTACTCAAATAAATAAATATAGCAGGCTTAACTATGTTAATTAGATTAACAAGCGAAGTTAGTGTAATTAGGCAACTCATTGAATTACAGTGGTTTGTTCTGTAGACATCCAAATAAAATAAATATTGCTTAAAGGTGCCATATACCAGTTCCCACAGATTTAAAAAATATACTTGCGGTGAGAGCCAAATTGAAACACATCATTTACCCAAATCAAAAAATTAGTTAACTATATGCAACAAGCAATACATAATTAAATTTATTACAATAATTGTATTTATTATACACTGTTTCTTTTCAATGGGTTAACAAAAACTTCTAAAATTTCCCTTTTATGCTATTCAGGAGCCATGTGCACATAATTTCTTTCTTTCTTTCTTTCTTTCTTTCTTTCTTTCTTTCTTTCTTTAAAGCAAAGTTTAAAGCAAACTTGAATGCCAAATAATTTTAGATAATATGTTTATAAAATAGCCTATGTAATATATTAACATCATCAAGTTAATAATCATAATCATAATAATAATAATTAGCAAATCAGAAATATATGACAGAAAAAGGAATAAAAATAGACAATATCTCTAAAAAATTATTTATAATTACAAGAATAAAACCTGTAGATTATTTAAATAAGACCAATGCATTGATCAACCATTACTAATGGTGTACATATATTTTGCATCCAGTTTAGACTAGTCATTTCATTCTCTTTGAGTATAAAGTTTTTCTGAGTAATTTAGAAATAAGTTTCTACATACATAGTAGATGAAATATACACTTAAAATAACTAAGGAAGGAAAATGATCACTGTTGTATCACTAGAAAACTTTTGGCTTATAAAACACAGTCTAAAGCATGCATATTAATGATTTCAGAGTATTTTTATTATCTCAGAGCTGAAAATGAGTCGTGTTCTCTTGATGATGTCAGCTGCTTGTCAAGTCCAGATAAATAACCTAAAGTAGGCAGGCACGCATGCAAATCCGAAGGCCATGGCCCGTGATTTTCATCACAGTTTGGCCCCGTTTACACTAGTGCGTTTTAGTTTGAAAACGCATAAGTTTTGCTACGGTTACGCCATCCGTCCACACTACGCCGGAGTTCTCGAGCACCGAAAACGGAGCTTTTTGAAAACGCTGGAAAGGCCGTTTTCATTCTAAAACGCTGCTGCTCCGTCTCAGTGTGGATGGGGAAAGACGGAGACATCTGAAAACGGAGGCGGGGCTGCAAACGTTCGCCTATCTGATTGGGGCTTTTCTCGCATCCTCTTCTTGTAAGTTCAGACTTCGCAAGTTTGATCAAGGCTGCAGTCTCCCCCTTCTCAGTTTGATATGGAAAACATACCGAGGACACGGGTAAATCTTCAAAGGGAACAGTGTACTTTATAACTTCATTCACATCACCTTGGCTACGTTGTTTCACTTTCTCAACAATAAAATGTAAACATGATTTAAGGAACTGCCTATTTTCTTTTTAATATTAGCAACTTAACAGACAGCAGAAATGTTGAGGCGTCGTGCTGCATATATGAGCGTCATCTTCACTGTTTGGATATTTATAACAAAACGGAGCCGATAACAACTGTCTCCTTTCAATTTCAGTGAAAATACGAAACGCACCCTCTCTTTTGCTGAATATCAGTTTTAATAATCGATAATTATAAAAGTATAACATACAATAAGTTTATACATTGTAGGAAATAAAGGCAAGCGATCAGTCAATGTACCTGGATTAATCATTAACTTATCTTTGCGCTTAACCAAAACATGTTACCCGTGAACAAGTAACTTAATAGATTCCAATGATCAAAGTCAGGGAATTGGCCTATGTCGTTAGATAAAGACAACAACATGAATGAAATATCACGTTTAGCAAATATAGTGAGATTAGATCCAGCGGGAGATGCTTGATGAGCAGTCCGACAAGCAGAGCTCTCATCTGGGTAGAAATGCTGGAGCGCTTGCCCGAGAGTGTGTGTGTGGTCACGTGATGTGCGTTTTCAGCGTTTTGGTGTGGACGGAGAGCAGTTCAGAAACGCTGGGTAAAACGTGAGTGTGGACGCGGATCGTTTTCATTCTACAACGCCGTTTTAAATCTAAAACGCACTAGTGTAAACGGGGCCTTTGTTTTGTCTTCTCATTGGCCTGTTGTTCACCGGGATTTGTACACTCTTAGGGCCCTATCGTTTGCGCTATGTTGTTTAAATGGCAAATCTATTTGTGTCCTATTGTGGACTCATGTGTGTGCCGTCTAGAAAGGAGGTGTGTTAAGTTGCATTATTGGTGCGGTGCTATTTTGAGGAACTAAAGTATACTGCGCAATTGACAAGCTTCTGTTCTAAAGTCCAGAGCAGAGCACATTAGTTGTGCGCCTTAAATGTATATACATTGCTTAATACACACAGGATACACAGCAATACGTAAATATCTTTACTAATGAAAAATAATTAAAGGATTAAAATATTAAAAAAATTATTATTTTCTACATAATTATAAAAACCACTGTCTCCATGCCGTCTTCATCTCGGGGGGCTTTTTCAGTTTATTTATGACAATTTATTTTTGTATAATGTTATTATAATTAGTACTATTATTTGTTATATGCACATTTATATTTGTTTTAATAAAAAAAAAGCTTAGATTTGTCCACCTTTTGGGTTTTTGACCATATGGGGCAAAGGGAGTGTGTTGGAATATAACTACATATATTACCCCACTTCGTTATTATTGTTTCATTCGTTTGCTAAAAATTAGAACTGAATTTAGAAATAGTTTTGAAATAAATCTTGGCGGTTAATAATCAAAATTAATTATGTAAGCTAATGAATGTCTTCTGTGGAATGCATACAACACCATTTCCTCATCCACGAATGTAATGGAGTAAAGTAAAGAGAAAGTAAAGAGGCCGAATGGAGAATGCAATTTTTTTACCTCGTGCTGCAGATGGTCTGTTTAACTGTGTTCTCGCTACTGAAGTGTTTAATTTTTTTTCCATGTGCAACGTCCGCCATGTCAGTAACAAATGCACCATGGCATGATGCAACTGACTCCTAAAGATAAGATTCTTATGGTTCAATGCACATTATTCTCAAAATACACCCATACTGTAAGCACAACCCTGTTAGATCATGCTTAAAATTTACATGAAAACATGGAAACAGTGGTGTCTGAGGCTCACAGAATGCCCACTTTCATATCCACTTGTTAAGTGTGACGTCACGTGGATCTGCTTTCGGGTCAAAGTGCCATAAGAAACTGAATGGGGAGCTTCATCAATTGCTAATAATAAATTTTTACAAGCTGATCTACAACTTTCAAAAATCACGATCGCAATATATATCCATGCCTAATATCAGATGGCCAGAAAGTTATTTATTTTTTGTTAAATTGTTAAAACGATGTTCATGATGCAGCAAGTCCAGAGATTGATGACCATAGTTTTATATTAAATTCACTTTTTTTTTTTACACTTTAATGTGTGATATGCAAACGATGCGTGATAAATGAATATTTTCTTAATTCAAATGAGTAGCGGCTCAGACCCTGGGTATTCCATACCTCACTGATATGTTACAACTCAACAAGCAGATACTGATCTTTTATTATTCTACTGTGCCTCAGTGTACCCAGATTTTCATTACAGGGCACCTTTAAGAGGGCTAATGATAAAAATGCCTTGCTCTGTTAAACATCATTTGGGAAATATTTAAAAAAAAATAAATAAATCACAGGGGGGCTAATGATTTTGACTTTATCTGTATATGTTTTTAAATAAGAATAAACCTTCTGGCCCAAAGCACAAAATTGATAATATTTTAATTTGTTCTTCCAGAGATTTCTTAGTCTATTCCTTTCAAGTTTATTGCAATTGGCAATGCAAGGATTGCAAGATTAATTATTAGTATTGAATAATACTAATAATAAAATCATGTGGCTTGATGTGATACTGTTATGTTTATTTAAAGTTTTTGCTTGTTACAGTAGGTAATAAATAGGAATATAAAATGTTCTAAACTTGATCTAAAGAGAATAACAAAAGAAATAAAGGCCAGATCTGTTTATTATATATTTTAAAAATCAGCCATTTGTATTGTTTGTGCATTACATCAATTAAATTGTTTAACTTTTTATTCTTTTTAGGACATTGTACTGTTAGCAAACTTTACAATCAGCAAATCTCCAACTTTTCTCAGAGACAAACTACATCCTTGTCAGCTGGAGATGGATAACAAAGATGCCTGTGTCTATGTGAGTCTCATCTGCTTGCATTTTAAAATCTGCACCATCCTTTTTGAACTTGGCTTTTCTTACTCCAATTTATCATATGTGTTTGTGTTTGAAAGGTATGTCCCTCGGCTATCCCTGGTCCTTCTAGTTCAGAGGTGCAGTATGCATTACTATTCGTGTGGATATTAGAGACAAGTCTCCTCCAGTCTATCGTATAGCATATATGCAGTTTATCCCTCAGAGATCAAGGAGATTCTTTATCTAAATTGGCTTCCGTCTTCAGGAATTTGTCTCTGTCGGATTGTGTGAATGGTTATTCCTTCACTTCTGTACAGCTTCCTTTTTAATTTGCCATCCTCTTTTTAGATTTGCTTGGGCCTGATCAAGTGCTTCAAACAGTACATGCCTCCAGGCACAATCAGTCTAGACTAAATTCAGAGCAACAATGCATTTGTTGGCAGTGAAAAATGGGATTTTTAAGCTTTATAGCCAGCTTTTGTTGCGTAATGTGTATTGAAAATGATTTAATTTTAACCAAGAAAAGTTGGGCATTTAAAATGAGAATAAGTAGCTGCTAATTGAGACAACAGAACACATTATCTTGAATAAGGTGATATATTATAAATTTGGTTTAATTATTGCAACATGTTGTGCTAAAGTACAATTATTCCATTGTGTTCTGTTTGTGGTAATAAACATGGAATAAATGCTGTAATTTTATTTTTATTGTTATTTGTAATTATTGTTGTTAATATTATTTTTTTTGCTGTCAGCTTGTTTTTAACCAAGAACTCTGCGTTAATGGCAATAATCCTCTTTCTCTAGGCCAAATACGTTTATGTTCCTCTAAACAAATTGAAGTCCAAAACTTTGGTGAACGTTTATGGAGTGGTGACTTTTTTCAAACAACCTTTCCCCTCTAAAGGTTCAGGTCAGTGGATTTTCTTTATCCCTGCAAGGCTTTTATAGCCTCTTCTATTGTGATTTGAGACCTCTGGAGAGTGAGGCCAGAGGAACGATTAATTTCTAAACTACCTTCAGGAACAGTGAAATAGCCATCAAAATAGAGAAAGCATGAATGGATATCAATGTAGTTCAACCTATTACTCAAGGTTTGTTTGTATAAGTCTTTGTCCTTTATAGATTAGCATTTCAAAGACCACCAAAACAAAACTCTGATCTTCTCCTGTGCTGCTGGTAACGAGTTCTTTTTTTTTCTCTCTCTACAGTGTTGATTATAAGACGATTTACAATTATCATATTAATTTCAAGAAATGTTGATGGCAACCACTATTTGGCAAACCACTCTCTTATGGTTCATAAACATACATATGTAATAGGGCTGGGCAATTTGGCCTAAAATCTAAATCTCAATTAATCGAACACTTTAACTCGATTACGATCAATTTAGTGGAATTTTTTTGCCCTTTTCGTTCACTGACAAATTTTGTACAGTAAATATGCTCTCATATTACAAGTGAGAGATTTTTGAATGAGAAATGCATTACTTAATGTGGTGTCTGAATAACACTGAGAACCGGTAACTGTACTGTGGTGTTAGTAACTGTACTATGGAGTGGATTTTGAGTGGCCACTGTGATCAGATACTATATCAAAGTTGGCGACCCGGGGTGTTTCAGACTGCACCAACAATGCTAAGGACTGGGTAGGTGGGGTATAATTACGTGAGTTTTGCTGGGAGCAATAACAAAACGGGAGGGTAATGGAAGATGGCTCTGAAATACGGGAGACTCTTTGGGAAAATGGGAGTGTTGGCAGGTATAAGCATAGGGGTTCTCAACCGTCCACCACATTCGTTATATCATGCTCTGTGTTTGTTATAAGTCATCTGTGCTCAATGCTCAGTTGTTTTATCGAAATCTCACATCGAGGACAAATCTGACCCCCCTTCGGGTGACTGCGTATCACACAGCGCCTGTGAATTAAAGTCAAGAAAAATAGAAACATTGTCTGATTGACAAGCAGCACCTAAATGTGTTCAAAGGAATTTAAAATGCCAAATGGGACAAATTTACTCTGCATTTTAAAAAGTAAACCATTCTATCTGTATTTAGCTTATACTTAAATGATGGCTTTGAAGTGCTAAAATATCTCTCAAAACGCTTTTTCCGACATTACATATTTGTACAAATGTACGTTACTGTAACACATTTTATGCAGTTCTGCTGGTTTTAGTTCTCAGTTCTTTCATTTTATTTGTACTTAAAATATTTATTTTACTTGCTTTATGCAACAGTCAAGTTGCCTATTAATCTGCCATCGGAAGAAAAAGTAATCATTTATTTTTGACAATTAAATTTATGTAAAATTGTGAATATAGGGTTATATAATACTCTTGCAATATTAAAATTATAGCTTTTTTTGCATTGAGTAGGCTATTCAGTTCATCAAGTCAGTTCAAAGTTTCATAAAGTTTTTAAAATAAAATCAGTTGTTCACTGTATAAAAATTAACATTTTGAAATATTTATATTTATCAGCCTATATATAACAGTTATCAGCTTCCAAATCTTAAGAGCTATCGGTTATTGATATCGGAAAAAACTCCATATCTCTAGTAAAAAATAATTTTAATAAAATGGTAAATATGCCATCTCAAGTTATCTCTGGAGCAACTTCCAATTATTGTCAAGGTAGTGCAAAGTAAGGCTCTGGAATGGGTCCATTGCCTTGCTCTACGCAATGTCGTGATGTTTAATTACATTTTTTTAAGAGGTGCTCATCACGTGGGTTATGCAACTGCACAAAGGCTCCACTGAACCATTCGCGTGTGCTTGATGCAGAATAATAAACCAGCCTTAAAGGAGTGGGGTCACATGACTCCACACGCGATAGGGAATGTATTTGGAAAAAAAACGACCTGAAAAAATGTGATTGATTATAGGTTTTGTATGTTGATTTTGATCACTTTTGGATTAATCGCCCAGCCCTAATATGTAAATACATTCATATTTCATATAAACCTTTTATATAGTCCTTTAACTATTGCCAGTCTTGTAATGGTAAACATTTCTTAGGCATGAGTGAAGAAACATTAAAGTGTTTTAAGTGTTACTTCTGCTATCATTTGTATTAAAAAACAGTTGTTTAATCCTTGTCTGTAATTGGTTATTTGGCATAGCCATAGGCATATTTCCTCACAATAGAGATTTTCTAATCTCCAACTCATTATTTGTCACTAGATTACTGCACCACACTAAAGATCACAGATCAGTCAGATGTTAAAGTGATCTGCACCATCTTCTGTAAAAAGCTGGAGGATCACCCACTCATCTTCAGAGTTGGTGACATTATCAGACTGCACAGATTCAAGGTGAGGAGATTTGACCTCCTTATTCATTCTTTATGATATGAAAATTGGCTTCATTCATGTTATCTTTAAACTGAGAGGTGCAGTTCTGGTCCTTTACAATGACCTTCCTGCAAATTGAACCATGATTAAAGACACTTGACCACTAGAAATATACTTTAAGCTGACCTTAAATGTCCAAAGAGTTTTAGTGTTAAACATATCTTAAGTGTTGCAAAAATATAAATCCAATGTAATTTAAACATCAACTCAAATGTATTGCTGAAAAAATACATTGGCTCTTTGTATGAACACGGATAGTCTCAAAATCCTTCTTCACATCTTTAACAGACGTCAGAACAGCAGAAAACGGTGCTACTGCACACAAGTCACTTTAGAGCTAGTATTTAAATGATTCTCTAGCGTAATATCCAAAGTAATGACAAAATATGGAATTTTGCTGACATTTAAAGATTAAAAGGCTGAATGGCATGAAATGCCACCAGTCTACAGAGATTTCCCAGTATTTCAGTGTTGCAGTCGGGGGACTACAATGAGTATCTCCGAAAAAAGCAAATGCAGCGCCAACACTATCAGATTAATTTTGTGTTTGCAATAAGGAAAACTGCCAAGCACATTTTGAAGAATGTTAAAAAACTGTAATCATTGACTTCCATAGTAGTTGTTTTTCCTACTATGGAGTCAATAGTTACAGGTTTTCAGCTTTCTTCATATAAAGCTATTTTCTCCTTTTGTGTTCAACAGAAGAAAGAGACTCATAAAGGTTTAGAATCACCTGAAAGTGAGCAAATAATTGTTCCTTTAATTGCCAAATCCCGTTAATTGGATTTCATTCATTCATTCGTTCGTTCGTTCGTTCGTTAATTCGCTCGCTCGCTCGCTCACTTGCTTGTTCGTTCATTGGTTCGTTCGTTCATTTTTTAATTTTTCTTCAGCTTAGTCCCTTTATTCACCAGGAGTTACTACAGTGGAATGAACTTCCAACTTATCCAACATACATTCACATACGGATACCCTTCCAGTTCACAGTACTGGGAAACACCCATATGCTCTCACATGCACACAGATACACCATGGACAATTTTAACTGGCCCAGCCAGCCACTGTGTCGCCCTAATTGGATAGCATAGATATGGTGTTGTAATGAATGATGTGCACAACAAGCGTAACAGGCTAATGATGATCCGTAAAGCTTCAGAAATTACCAGTTAATTTCAAAATTCTTCCACTGTCAAGTGGTATTGGACAATATTGATTCTGATTTAATGCCTTTTGTTTTAGAAAGAATTTCATTCCTATTGAAACTAAAAAGGTCCATATAAACATAAAGTTGCTTTGTGTATTAGCTGTCATTTTATCTAGTATTGTGATTACCTTTAAATTTTTTTCTGACTGTGAAACTAGTTTGAGTAGAAAATGTCAAAGCACATGTGCAAAAAATTGTGTGCATTCATTTGAATATCACATTACATGCGATGTATGGATTCTGATTTAAAAAATAAAAATAAAACACAAAAAGTGTACAAGCTTTTAAAGTTGAGGAGATACAGAGTGTATATGCCCACACATGAAACAACTAGGGCTGCTTGATTTTGGAAAAAATCATAATCACGATTATTTCAATCTTAATTGTAATCACGATTATTTAAAACGATTATCAGTTGAAGTCAAAATTATCACTTATTATTAGCGCTCCTGAGAATTAAAAAAATATATATATATTATTTCCCAAATGATGTTTAACAGAATAAGGAATTTTAACAGTATTTCCTCTAATATTTTTTTCTTCTGGAGAAAGACTTATTTGTTTTATTTTTGCTAGAATAAAAACAGGTTAAAATATTTTAAAACCTATTTTAAGGTCAATATTTTTAGCCCCCTTAAGCAATATATTTTTGATTGTCTGCAGAAGAAACTACTGTTAAAATGACTTGCCTAATTACACTATATAAGCCTTTAAATCGCACATTGAATCTGAATGCTTGCATTTTGAAAAATATCTAAAATATTATCTACTGTCTTCATAGCAAAGATAAAAGAAATCCGTTATTAGAAATGAGTGATTAAAACTAGTATGTTCAGAAATAAGTAAAAAAAAAGTCTTCTTTCCATTAAACAGAAATTGGGGTTGCTAATAATCAGGAGGTTCTAATAATTCTGACTTCAACTGCATATATACAGTCGTTTTCCTCCCTGCAAAGGAAAGAGAAATAAATACAATAGAACAAAAATATGAAACAAACTAAGCATCTTCACTTTAAGAAAAACACTTTAGCTACAAAAGTCCTTCAGTCAAGAGCAGTGAGGGATTTTCTCCTTGTTGTTTGATTAATGATAAAAACAGGCGGCAGCAGGAATATCGTAACTTTAATGGTTTCTCTTTCTTTTGAATCTCAGCTCGTTTGTTTATTACACAAATGAGGGTTTATATAAAAAATCACAAAAGACCATGTTTTGACACCTATTTGATCATTAAAGCGTTCACGTTAAGATGACTTTAGATGTGTGCGCTCTGCTCGTCTCAGTGTGCGAATAAGACCGAATGCTGACCGCATGCGTGCCGCACACACAGAAGCATGAGGTCTTTTCGCGCTTTTAAGAGCAATGAATGTGTACAACTGGAAAGGGGGCAGTATATGATGCAATAATCGTTTATCTCAATTAATGCTTTTTCATAATCGTTAGAAGCCAAAATCGAAATTAAAATCGGATTTTCGATTAATTGCACAGCCCTAGAAACAACAACAAAAAAAAAAAACAATACTTTGGTTTATGGAGTGATTTATGAAGTGGTATCTTCTATTGGAGTTAGCTAAGAATATTTTTTTTATGTTTTCTTCCAGGCAGAAGCATTCAGAGACTCCATTACACTCATAAACACATTCGGTTGGTCTACAGTCACATTCAATGGAATTATTGACAGCCCAATTGTCCCCCGTACCTCAAGCAAATCATTTTTCTATGGGGAAGCCGATAAGCGCAGAGTTCAGGAGCTTCGCCAGTGGGCTGCCAACCAGTCTTTATGCAGTGACCTTAACACCTCCCTATCTTCGGTACAGCCCCACATGTACTTTGATTTTACCTGCCAGTTGCTGGCCAAGGCTGTCATGCATAGTGGATGTATCCTTTTGAAGGTGCTTTCTTCTTTTTTAACTTTCAATGTTATCGTAATCTTCAAAATAATCAATTTTTTTCAAATACAGTTTGTGTGACTAACAATTACACAATATAATCAGGTGTGGGACGGGACCAGGTGTCAGCTTCCCTTGTTGCAAGTTGCAGTTCCACCTGATGAATTGGAAGGTGAATGCACTCTTGCTAAAGACAAGATGAACTTGACAGCCAACGTTCTGGTCTATGATAATCACTTGGAGGTCGCTCGAGACTTAAAGGTGAGTGTTGCTGTTGGTTCTATCTCAGCAGTGTCAAATCCTGCTTGTGTACAATCACAGTCCTGTAGAGTTTATATCCAGCCTTAAACAAAAATAAACCAGCTATTCATGGAAGTATGCTTACTATTCATTTCCAAAATTTGTGATAGATCTAATTAGGGCTGCATGATTCTAGCTAAAATGAAAATCACAATTTTTTTGCTTAAAATCAAGATCACTATTTGCTCATGATTCTGTAGATGTAAAATAAAGGTTAATATGAGTAGGCTATTGTTAGTGTTATTTCTCAAACATAAAACAACAATAACAATATAAGGCTTATGTGTACTTATACTGTTGATTAAATGCTACATTTTGTATAAACATGGAATGATAGATTTGAACAGACTAAATATGTCCTGTTTGTTAATTCACAGTAAAGTGATGACAACAGAATACAACTATTCATAGTTCTAAAGTTGAATTATTATGTCAGAGACATGCTTGTGATCTGTCATTGACAGCATTATTAGAATGAAAATTTCACAGGTAAAATGAGACATTTGTCATTATCAGATTCCCTCCTGCAGTATATTCAACATGATATAGGCTATAGATATACTGACACAGTAAACATTTGTTTTTTATGCTCAGCAGTTTGTTTTTAATATGAAAGATTAAACTTATCAAGTGATTGTCATAATTCTATCTCTAAAATGTGATCGTTTAAATGATGTGCAGCCTGTTGCACTTTCATTGCCTCGTACGTTTATGTCATGTCTGCTGTGAGAAAAAAAAAAAAACACCTGCAAATCATACTTCCCGTGCAGCTCTCAAACAATCGCACTGTATAACAAACTCAACTTTATTTACAACTTAATTAGCTGTTATTCATGTCCTCTCTGAGGTAAACAAACAGTGCGTCAGCGCACGTGCGATTTCGCAGCCGCAAATACATCATTACATAAAGACAGAAATAATATTTTATGGTGAATTACACCTTATAAATACAGTATGTGTCACTTTTAATGCCATTTAAATGTGTCCATGTTGCCTAGCAGCATATGTAAAACAATGAGAAGACTTGTGCGTCCGCCTTTACGCTTCTCTCCTCACCTTGAAAAGATAATTGGCTGAATCGTAGGAAAGCTGATTTAAGATTGTGAGTAGGGTCGAATCGAGATTGCAATCTTTTTTTGATTAATCGTGCAGCATTAGATCTAATCTATTTATAAGGCTCTTCCAGGAGCAGGATCAGTAACCATTGTTCTATAGATACAGAAGGTAAAATTAGTATTGAGTGCATCATTTTGTCAGAAAACATTTCTTATGACTCATTTCCACTGAGTGGTACGCTACAGTTCAGTATGCTTTTATGGCTGTTTCTTCTGTCTATCTAAAAGCAAACCGTACTGTACCACTTTTTGGGTACCTAGCACAACAAACGTGGACCAAGAGGTAAAGCAAGACGCACAACTGAACGCTGTTAGTTTACTGAGATATGCCACTACCAAACAAAGGAAGCAGCATTTTTAAATACAGAGCGAGACATTACACCATATTGATTTATACATATAATAACAAGTCATGGTCGACCTGAGCTCAAACAAACCTTGTTGCCGTCTTGATGAACAGCCACAAAGCCAATAAGAAGAGCAGATTCTACCCCGTTGTTATTTACAAGGCTGTCTAATGCACAAGCGGTTTTAATTTCACCAGACAGGTCTGCGTGCGCGTCTATATTTAAAATAACAAACTTCTTGAGCTGATGATAATAATGTGTGCGCTTGTGACATTTGATCATCTTCTGACATCTGACCCTCATCTGAAATGGACAAACGTGAGTGTGATGTGCGAAAAAGCATAGGTGCAAATGATTCCTTCAGTAACCTAAAATAAGATGAAAACTGCCACGTTTAACTATTATCCTCAACTTTTAACTATTATGAATGACATAATTACTTTCTAACAAGACGTTACATGTGCTGGTGAAGATTAAAGATACAGATAAGATGTTTGCACTGACTGTGGGGCTATATGCTGTGTGTAGTTTTTCTGTTATGGTAACATATCGGAGACTGTAAGGGTCTGTATGTGTTTATATATGTTGCAGTTGTTTATTTGTTTTATATAATTGCAGACATTGCTTGCAGCCTATTGATCTGCAGTTATAATCAAATTGTGATCATAGAAAGGTTAGTAATGAACAATTCTACAGAAGTGTTTATCTGTATGAAGCATCTGTTTTGTAGAAAGTGCTTCTCATATGATATGTGTGCGACCCAAACAGCTTTACTTTGACATTTTTTTGAGCGAGAATGACGTTGACTGAAACTTTCTGTTGTACACCCCGCCCACCATTAGTACCCCGTTTGGCAGTTGAAATGCAAGTTTGATAAAGGTGGCTCGTACCGTACCACTCAGTGGAAATGTACCATAAAGACGCTGTCGACTTGCAATTTTCATCAGATGTCGGTAAACTGGAGTAATTTTACAAAAAAAGTTTTAGTTTAAAAAGTAAGTTATGTGTATTAAATAAAATGACACAGGGGGAAATTATTGAACACATGAGGGAAGGAAGGTTTAAAAGGGCATGGAAGTCCCAGACAGCAGCTGAAATCCCTCAGTAGTTAGAAAGCAACCCTGTCTCAGTTCATGAGGATGAAACCAAGGTTGACATTTCAGCAAGACAACGATCCAGCTTTCAGAAAAGAAAAGAGCTGCTAGAGTGACCCAGACAAGCTCCTTTCCTGAATTCAATAGAAAATAAGAATCACCCAAAGAACTGTCAAGATTTGTAGACTCTGTTAAAGTCTGTGGAGGAGCAACACAGTAGCTCAGTTGTTAGCACTGTCGCCTCACAGCAAGAAGATCACTGGTTTAAGCTCCGGCTTAGTCAGATGATGTGGGTAGTTTGCATGATCTCCCTGTGTTAGACTGGGTGCTTCAGTTCCCACCACAGTCCAAAGACGTGAACTGAATAAACTAAATTGGCAGCCCGTTTTGGTTTATGATAATTACTTGGAGGTAGCTCGAGACTTAAAGGTGAATGTTGTTGTTGACCTTGGTTCTATCTCAACAGATGGTCTATCTCAACGTATGGTCATTGTCCTACAGAGTTAATATCTTACCCTAAACTGATCTAATCAAGAAAGTTTGCTTGCTATTCATTTTAAAAATTTGTAATAGATCTAAACTATTCAAAAGACTTTTAAAGGAGCAGGAACGCAAATCATTATTCTAAAGATACAGCAGGTGAAATAAGTATTGAGCGCACAATCATTCTCAGAAAACATTATTCTAAAGGTGCTGTCGACTTGAAATTTTTTAACCAAATGTCTGTAACAACTGGAGTAAACTACACATATAAAGGAAAGCAAAACTAATTAGTTTAAAAAGTAAGTTATGTGTATCAAATTTAAATGGCACGGGGAAAGTATTGAATACATGAAGAAAGTAAGGTTTAAAAGGGCATGGAAAACCCAGACAGCAGCTGAAATTGCTCAGTAGTTAGAAAGCAACCCTGCCCCTGAAGATGAAACCAGGGTAGACATTTCAGCAAGACAATGATCCCAAACACAGCTTTCAGAAAAGAAAATAAAGCTGCTAGAATGACCCAGACGAGCTCCTTTCCTGAATTCAATAGAAAATAAGAACTAAACTAAACTCAAGATTTGTAGACTCTGTTGAAGTCTGTGAAGGGGCAATACAGTGGCTCAGTGGTTTGCACCGTCATCTTACAGCAAGAAGGTTGCTGGTTTGAGCCCCAGCTGCGTCAGTTGGCGTTTCTGTGTGGAGTTTGCATGTTCTCCCTGTGTTAGATTGGGTTTCTTCTGGGTGCTTCAGTTTCCCCTACAGTCCAAAGACATGAATTGAACAAACTAAATTAGCCTTAGTGTATGAGTGTGAACAAGTGTGTATAGATGTTTCCCAGTACTGGGTTGCAGCTGGAAGGGCATCTGCTGTGTAAAGCATGCTGGATAATTTGGCGATTCATTCTGCTGTGATGACCACTGATGAATAATGGAACTAAGCCGAAGGAAAATGAATAAATGAATGAATTCTGGGGGGAAAACACTGCAATGCAATCCATTCTCCATACAAGAGTATTTTTGAGGTTGTCATTATCAAAAAAGTCTTTTATACAGAGTATTAAATAAATTTCAGTAGTTCAGCACCGAACCTTCTTGTGGCATTCTATTGTTATTGCACAAGACATTTTTTTACTGAAATCTTTTTGTTTAGTTTTATTTGTTTGTGTTTTTACAAAAATCTGGGTCAATTTTTATGTAACAGCTTAGAAATATATTTACCAGGACAAATCATGATGTGTTCGATACTAATCTTTCTCATTTTAGGCAATATTGTGTTTCCTGTTGGATTTTTTTTGTTTGTTTAGATTACATATTGTCAAGCTTCAATGGGGAATAAATTGGGTGCACTTCCACTAAAACGCCTGTCCTTCAGAAAGTGTCATTTGATTAGCCTACATCCACCACCACATGAGTGTTCTCTTTGAGGCTGTTACTATTAATATTTGCAAAAGCCATCCAGCACAAGAGAGTCATGCACCCACCTTAGGGGTGGTGGGGCTCTCGTTGGGAGATCACAACTGTTGTAAGCATTTATATGTGGGGAATGGGGCTATGACACCCTGTTTGGGGGATTATAACGAGTTTATAAGCTTTTCGGGGGATTGTAATAGGTTTATAAGTGAAGACTGGTCGGACAGGCACGCCATTGCAAAACTGCCCAATTTTACACTAACCGCCTATGTCATTTTTTTTACCTGCAAAAATAAATTTAAAACTGCCCAATTGAGCAGGAAACCGCCCAATCTCGCAACATTGCCCGAGTTCAAAAATCTAAAATTCAGCGGGCATCTGCTCTGCGTAAACCAATCAGGAGCTTGCTCTTTTGGGGGCATGATTATGACGTAGTGCCTGTTGTTGGTGTCCCGGGGACGAATACTCCTGCCAACACTGACAACAGGTCATCAAATTGGGCTCGGCTCAGTCTGA